TTTTTTTTTTTGTAAGTCCAGCTGCTTCTATTTAATGGATAAAATTAAAATTCATTCATTGAGAAAAAAAAGTACAATTAAACTGAGTTAATTTAAAAATTCTTTGAGGCTAAATTGAGCCTATAAAAGAATTGCAATTGTTTGCTTTGCCTTTAATTTGAAAGCGCCTTTATAAGAAAATTTGGATTCAGCCGAATATTATTACGCGAGCTGAAGAACAACTAAGCGCCGTCAATGATGACGTAACTAGCTTTATTTCCGGCGCGCGGAATGACGAGCTTGTCGCTGTGTGGTTGGCCATGATTAATACTTTCCGAGGTATATAGAGTATATAGTACATATGCAGGAGTTATACTGCAAACAGAAATACAGAGAGAGAGAGAGAGAGAGAGAGAGACTAATAGGTCGACATAACGGAGTTTAGTCCGATAAGGCATGACAGTTCCAATTGCGATAAGATAACGAGGCGAACCGGCGCATGCGTAGGCGCAACAGCAACACATTCGGCACAGGTTAAAGCGATTTCGAAACGCACTTGTAATCTGGTCGCCTTATCTTATCGGGGCACCTGGCCAAGAGATTGCAAAAGCTACAAATTCCTGTCACTTGTTTTCAAGTTTTTATCTGCTGAGTATTCAGTTGAGTAGCGACAACCAAACGAATACGAACTCAAATTCGAATAGAAAACGAATACAATTGGAGTGTGTGAATATATAGAGAGAACAAACAATAAATATGGTATCTGTGGAAACAATTGGTTCGATTTTCATCAAAGCACTTAAGCTGGTAAGCCTTGAGTTCAATATTTAATAGATACTAAGTCCTGGCCGCTCAGTGACGAATTTTTGCCCAGCTTGGCTTGGAAAAATGTTGAGCAATGCGACTAACTCTGCTGGCCTTATCGGCCTTATCTGTGCCTGTGCCTGCCTGGGGTGGGTTACTTGTTCGTAATATTACTCATGTATACGAAAAGCACAAAATTAAAAGCGGGTCGTGAGTGCGCAATAGGTCTAGCGAAAGCTCCACAGGGCGGGGCCAACGAAAGATCGTTACAAGGTCTGATTCATTAGCCATTGGAAATAGCAGCTAAACCAAGCCAAGTTAATTATGAACATTTACATTCGATTTATACTCAACCCTTGCAGATCATCAATCTGGTGGTGATCTTCCTATATCGTTGGGGCGATGGCGGCGAATTCCTGGGCATTGGCGGCACCTGGAATCTGAACGAGGAGAAGAGCGCCGATGCGGAAATCGTGGCCTCCGGTGTGATGGTCGGCTTCTTAATATACACGGGGTGCCACACAATTGCCTACTTCTTTGGCACCACCAAGCACAAGGGGTAAGCTCAGCTCTGAATCCTCTCTATCCGCTCGACCCACTCTAATTCGAATTCCCTTGCTAACCTAGCGAGCTGTGCGACACCATCATGAATGTGGTGGGCACCTTTATGTGGATCGCCGTGGGCGGTGTGGCGCTGCACTACTGGAAGGGCTACATGTCCGACGAGGGCTTCCTCTATGTCAACTCGGAGCGTCAGGTGGGCATCGCCATGGGCTCGCTGTGCGTCATCGAGGGCGCACTGTATCTGCTGGACACCGTTCTGGCCTGCATACACTACTCCAAGGGCGACACCGACTACACGCAATGAGCAGGCAGCGAGAGTGAAGCGTCGCTGGAGCAACTGCCGAATAACTGACAACATATTTTTTCCATTTTTACAAAATTCAGTTAACTCTAAGTTCAAATTAGTTTTTAATCTACTTATCGAGCCTCTCGCGTATGATTCGCTCGTTTATCGTCGTATCTTATTTACCCACTAGCAAGCCATTTAGGTTTCGCTTCAGCTATACACGTTGGCTAATACAAATTGCTAAGATCAATACAATGAAACAAACAAACAAACAAACCACAATTGATTGTGTTCATATTTGAAAGGGAAATATGGCTATAATGTACATACTATATATCTCACAGAAAACCTGGCTTACATATTGAGATTTGTGCTTTGTATTTGGCGTTCAGTTATTATAAATTCTAAACAGCTCGTGCGTGTGTTTTATAGGTCTTGTAACCTTCCCTGAACTAGCTCAGTTGCATCTTTAAGCGACATTATTATTCAAAGCGTTGTCCGCTCGCCATAAAAAGCGAAATATTTTATGTTTTACCTGTAAAGGTACATACCCGTATATATATACGAGCGTAAGTATATAAGCAAAGGGTTGTCTGTATACGGATCAAGGCTGTAAACAGGTTTCGAGCTAAGCCGCTTAGAATCCGCAAATCTAATGTATTTCTGAAGAAATCAAATCTGTGAAACTGCTCTAAGCACTCAATTGAATAATCTCTGTCTCCTGTTGATGGATATTTCAAAAAGAAGTTTTCTTAATCCGGCTAATGCAGAATGCTTTACATAAGCTTTATTTTTAATTTTTTATACTGCAGGCTCTATGGCAAAATATGAAACGAATGTCCAAGTGGATTCCTAGCAACCGTCAAAGATTGAGGGAAGTATCAATAAAAAGCTTGAAGATGACGTTACTATGACTAATTGCGATTTGTTGGCTTCCATGAGAAAGCTTCTAAATTGATAAGCTTTGCAAAGTTTTCTTATTCATATGTTCGATAGGACTATAAGAGCTTGGAATCATGCTTGGTATATTTTGATACTTCATAATGAAGTTTTTTAATGCTAATGCTGATGGGGAACACGGACAACCTGTTGTTGATGATGATGAAATAGATGTTGCTGATGATAATGATGATCTAATTAACAAGATCAATTACTCACATCATCATTATTATCGAAATCTTAGTAACAATCATCATTATCTACAGTTCCAATATCATCAATGTCAGCATTCACTCAAATCATCATCATTACAGTTATTATTGCCAGTATTATTAATATAATTGATTGTAAATACTTAATTATAAATATTTAAAAGTTTTACCAGGCGAAGCACTGCACTACGACTGACTGATAGGAGGTCAGGGATGCGACTGAACAAAATTGATCGTTGCTTCACCCTTTTATAGGAGACAACTCCACTGCGAGTAGAGCGTATTACTCTTTAGTCTTACTCTTGTTGTGCACACTCACGGAGGGAAAGAGCTTATTGGTTTTATGCGATTTCCGTGTTGCTGTTCATCTGTCTGACCGTATGAATATGAACTATTTTAACGCAATTGAAGCCAGACGCTTAAAATGTAGAATGCTTCCATTGACAACCTAAGATCGAAATTTTATGGTAGAGCATAGCAAATGCGGTAAAACTGTATATTTTAGAGTTCTAGTTGAAAATTCAAATTTTAACGAATACGTTATACACATATACGTTATAAATATAAATTTCAAGCCTCTTAAATAAAAACGTTTCTGAGATTTTGCGATTTGCCGCGCCCCCGGTTTAGTGGAGTTTATTTTTAAAATGAACTAAAAGCCAAATCAGTTGAAAACTTGGAGTAACGTACATTTCGGGTCAGGATAACTTCTATAAATCTCTAAGTACTTTAGTACGCAATTGATTAAAAATAGGTGGACTTAAATAAACTTTTTACAACTTTGCTTGCAACATATATTCCTGCAGATATGTTCCTAAGACCAGTAATACCTTAAAATATTCAAAGCAAGAGAGTATCTAACAAATATTTATAATCATAAAGAAATAATATTTATATACAGTCGAGTATCGAAAATTCGCACCCCGTTAAATCGAAGAACGGGATAAAACGAACAAAAATTATATTCCCCTAAAAGAAATTCGTTCCCAATATTCCTTGATAATTTGAATGTCTGTGTAAATCGAAAAATAAAATTTATCCCCTTGCCATTTTCAGTTGTCGGGATTCTATTGTACTTACAATAAAGATAATACGGACAATAAATATATTGTATATAATAAAATATTTACCATATATATACATAGTAATAATAAAAAGAATAAGAACTCACCTGTATTTTGGGCTTCCCGCGCCCATCCACCGCGTCGCGCTGCTGCTTGAAGCTGTTGGCTCTCGCGACACTCTGGGCGCAGAGCGCACAGCGCCGGTTCGCAGAGCCATCCTCCAGGTTGAGGGCGTCGAAGAGCATTGGCTGGTCCTGAATGAAGGAGTTGCGCGAACGCTGATTGAGCAGCTCCAGGGTGCGTGAGTCCAGGCTTTCGCGATAGACATTGTGAACTCTGTCCAGGTTGTGCTCGAAGTCCGTATCCAGGTTAAAGGAACTCTGGCTGCTGTTGCGCGTCGAGGCGGACTGCTGGCGCGCGAGCGCCGAGCTGCTGCTTCGCTTGCGTCGCATCACCACTGTCTTCGGCGTGCTCTCCATGGATGAGGAGCCCACGAAGGAGGGCGTGTGCGGCAAGGGCAGACTGACAGTCCCAGCTCCAGCTGCACTCCCACTTAGTTCGCCCAGGGGCGAGGATGAGTTGAGCTGCGAGTGGTGGGTGGTCAATGGCAACTGGAGCGTGTGGGCGGGGGGCATCTGCTGCTCGGCTAGACTCATGATGGACTGCTGGCGCTCCAGCTGCTTCTCATAGCCATTGAACTTGTCGTAGTCAATGAATGACATATTGGCATAGCTGACCATGTTATCAATCGCTTGCAGCGATTGCAGCGAGGCGCTCCACTTGGGATTCAGCTTGTCTTTTTTGTCTTTCTTCTCCTTCTTCTCTGGCTTCTCCGTCAGCCCAATCAGCGTGCTCTTGAACGACGCGATGAGCGTGCTGGAGCGACGTTTCTGAAAGTTGAGCTGCGGATTGTAGTTGCTTTCGGCAGGTGTCAGTGATATAAGCGATGGCTTGCGCTGCATGGATGCCTCCGCGGAGTCCTCGACGGGTGTGGAGGTCAGCGCCTGTGTGGACTGCCGTCGAGCTGGCGTATTTATTGAGCTGGAGGTGTCCGCACGGCGTCGCAATATGGGCGAACAGCTGGTATTGGTTGCGCCGTCCTCGGCCAGCGAATTCTTGCGCGGCGATGCTGGCATCAGTGGATCACCCGAC